CAACATCCACTGCTCTGCCCTCATCTACCCAGCCAGTCATCCCATCAGAGAAGGCTATCAGATTGGTCAAGCATGATGTCCCTTTGGTGAATCCATGCAGACTACTCCTGATCACCTTCTTGTCCTCCAGATGCTTAGTGATGACCTCCAGGAGGAGCTGTTCCATCACCTTTCCAGGGATGGAGGTGAGGCTGACAGGCCTGGAGTTTCCTGGCTCCTCCTTCTTGCCCTTTTGGAAGACTGGGGTGACACTGGCTTTCTTCCAGTCCTCAGGCACCTCTCCTGATCTCCAGGACCTTTCCAAGAGGATGGAGAGTGGCCTAGCCATAACATCCGCCAGCTCCCTCAGCACTTGTGGGTGCATCCCATCGGGGCCCGTGGATTTGTGGATGTCAAGTTTAGACAAATGATCTCTAACCCGATCCTCCTCCACCAAGGGAGAGTCTTCCTTTCTCCAGACTTCCTCTCCTGTCCCCAGGTTCTGGAATTCCTGAGGACTGGCCTTAGCAGTGAAGACGGAAGCAAAGAAGGCATTCAGCAACTCTGCCTTCTCTATATCCTTCATTACCATTCAGCAGTGGGCCAACATTTTCCCTAGTCTTCCTTTTGCTATTGATGTATTTGAAGAAGCCCTTCTTGTTGTCCTTGACATCCCTTGCCAGATTTAATTCCAAACGGGCCTTAGCCTTCCTTGTCGCATCCCTGCATACTGTGACAATGATGTCCCTATATTCCTCCCAAGTGGCCTGTCCCCTTTGCCACGTTCTGTGTACTTCCTTCTTCTGTTGGAATTTTGCCAGGAGTTCCTTGCTCATCCATGCAGGTCTCCTGCCCGCTTTGCTGGACTTCTTACTCAGAGGGATACACTGCTCTTGAGCCTGGAGGAGGTGATACTTGAATATTAACCAGCTTCCTTGGACCCCTCTTCCTTCTAGGGCCCTACCCCATGAGATTCCCCTAAGTAGGTTCCTGAAGGGGCCAGAGTTAGCTCTCCTGAAGACAGAAGCAAGCTTATTTAAGGGCAATTACCAATAATAAAATACAGTTGCTCTGTGAGTAGAGGCTCAAAAGCATCAAAGCTACTGAACTACTAGTTCACCCACTCTCTTTTCAGCCACAAATTTGTAGGAAAAAAGGTCAGGAAAGAACTCTACAACTCTCTTGCTGATGGCTGCAAGTAGCATGGGAGAAAAGCAAGAGGACTAGATCTGATTACTAGCACGTTATTTTTTGTCACATGCCTCTCTCTCCCACCGTTACCCAACTAAAAGAAAGTGCACAGAGCACTGCTAGTAGGAACCAATATAAGGAAAGAAAGTTCCAGCAAAAAAACAGACCAAGACTGTTAGCCATACATAAAGAAAAGGACCAAGCAGCTGTCTTGAACATCAATGGCAGGTGTTCATGCTACTGAGTCTACAGAATTTCTGCCTGATACCGCAAGGGGCTCAGAACATGCACTTTGGTTCCAGTTGTAGGCTGAATGGGAATTTGAATCATTTTGACCAGAAAGCAGATATGAACTGAATGGAACAGGGCTACTCAAGCACCTAAGGGCATTAGCTCTCTGTGTGAAGAGGTGGCTTGTGCTGGTTCACACAATGTGAAGACAACGTGTTCCTGGTGACCACAGTGATTTGTTGGTATTGGGTCCTATCCCACTTTATTTTGTTAGACAGAGACCTACCTAGCGGTCCATCAGCCAGGCAAAGGCAGAGCAGGGCACAGTGCAGAACTAGGCTGCAGTAGCAATTCTGTGTGTGCTGAGTGATGACGCTGCAGCAGTAAACATAATTCCTGCTCCTCTCTGCAGTGTTCATCCGCCATAAAGTCCTCATCTTCTTGAGCTGCTGGACCACACATGATATTGTGCATGCTGTGCAGCGCCAACAAACAGAAGTGGACTGCAAAGAGAGAGACACCCAGAGAAGTTGAGGTGCAACACAGACACATCGCGTTCTGTCTACAAGAATGCAAACAGTAACCTGCACAGGGGTTAACAGGTCCTGAGTTACAAGAAAACCCAGTTTCCAACTCTCTGTTGGCCTAGGCCCAACGGGGGGTGGGGGAGGGAAACAAAAAATAAACATGCCAGCATCCAACCCCCTTTTGGCTTGCCTCCCAACTTCAGAAAAGAATAGGTATCATCTTCAGCTCAACCGAAAGCAGCGCCCCTGCTTACCTTACCTAAGTCTCTTCTGCTTCCCCTGCTTAGTCTCATTAATAGTTAACATCTAATCAGAAATAAGGAATGTGAATAGCAGCAGTCAGGCAACAGCTCAGAATCAATTCAAATACTACAGGAATTCGCAGGAGAATGCAGGAGGAAAATATTGAAATGTGCCAAGAAACAAGCAACTCAAATTACAGTAACTCTAGTGAGGCCTGAAATACAGCACAGGTGTATCACTGCATGACATCAAGGAACAGGAAATCATTAGGCCATGTGAACTGATAACGAATCCAACGCAGCATCTCTACAGGCAGAGCACACAAATGTTCAGACACCAGGGTGCCAAGGCTCAGATCTGTTAACAACAAAAGCTTTAATAAGCTTGGAAAAGAAAAGAAACAACTGTTTATCACCTGAATGATGTGGGCAAAGATCTCATCTATCAGGGCGACAAAGGTGGTAAAAAAACACAGTGGTGTAGAGGGCAGAAATGAAAAATACGCACACGAGAGAGAGGGGGGGGAGGGAGGGAGGGAGAGAAAGAAAAATCACAGTGCAAAGTGAAGAATGAAACAGAAGTACAAGAGAGGAAAGAAGGTCAAGGCAATGCTGAGAAGGGCAGTCAAGGCATCATTACCTAGTGCTCTGACTTGATACCATGTGTCCATTTTGCTGCACAACAGGCAGGTGGTAGATCAAAGTCCAGGATATGGCCTTTTGCTGCAAGCCCCATTAACACCTTTTAAAACTAACAATGTTCTTGCAGCCTCAGCGCCAGGCACTTCTGATCTCAGGATAATGGCTGCCCTGAAAGCACCACATCTGAAGTTAACAAGTTCAAGCATGCTATCAGGCTGTTCAAAGCCAAGCATGCATCATCTCAGCTCCTGTTATAAAGGAAACGTCAAAAAGACACTTCTTAGAAAGGATTCAACAGACGTTCAGAAATGAGAGGAGAGAATAATTAGGGACCTGAAAATTTCTCACAGGAGGCAAGAACGGAAAGACTGTTTACTTTGGGCAAGAGACATAAAGACGACGTGAAGAAGACAGATGGGCAGCACCTTACCTCCCTTCCTCATAACATAAAAGGGCCATGTAATAAAAAGAATAAAATTTAGGGTCAGGTACTGTGTGGAGTTAACAAAAACAGCTGAAGTCGTACAATTAATGCAACAATCTGGAAAGGAAATTAAATCACGTGCAGTGAGGCTTAGCCAAACCTGAAGGTATCGGTGGGGAGGTAACACCAAATATACACAGATTAATTCCCTGTGAGCTGCTTCTTTGCCTCTTCCTCTGAAGCACCTGATCTTGCCTGCTGACCTTAGTGAGTCTCAGGACTGCCTCGGTATGATGAGCCCAGATTACTAGAAAAACTTTGTACCTGCTCACTGGGACAGAAAGACACTGAGGCAAAGCACAAGGTCAAATCTGAGCAATTTTTAGCAACGCTACTAACAGGCATTGTACGAGGCTTCCCTATGAGACTGGTCTCTGAAGGGAAGGAAGGGAGAAAGAGAGTCACATGTCACCCACTGTTCAGTGAAATATCATTAATACAACAAATCTCAAACACACCTGCAAGCTGTCACTTGTGCTGGTCTGACCCAGATGCTTTTCTTAGGAGCGTATGATTTGGAATTAAGTTCTTAAGAGATCAATTGGAGTTCAGGATTTTATTCTTTAAAATGAATGTTTCTGCTGATGGTTTTGTGTCAACTATAAGGAGTCCAAACACTATCCCTCTCACGGCCAGTTTGCCAGGCAGCAACAGAAGGAAGAATTACACCAGTCAGTCAGCAAAGCACTTTCAAGGCCAACCAAGCACAGTTCCACTTACTGCGAACACTGCACAGCTAGTCACCAAGAAATACAGCCAGCTGTAAAGCCATTTCCACACTTTGATATCACCTGCAGAATTCATTACAGAATGATCCTCGCAGAGGCCTGTAAATTCAACATTACATGCAAACACAATGACAGTTTATTCTTGTCCTATGCACAGTTATACCCATCCACTTCCAAACAATCTTTGCACTTTGTTTTAGTAAAGTATTCTAGTTCATTTCAGGTGTAGAAAATCCATTAGGCTTTGGAGCTTTTTTTTTTTTTTTTTTAAATTACAAGAACAAGCATATTTTAACATAAAATAATTTAAATATTACGCTTCAGCAATTAATAACTTCAGAGTTCTAAAAACGTGCTTCACTGCACAGTTTGACCTTTGAGCGGTTTGGCTTGGTGAATTCATACCAGCTTCCTTGACACACTTCAGAAGGCAGTTTGTAATGATATGTGCAAAAAGAGGACGCAAGAGGATGGCACCGCGCACAGGTCCATCACTGCCTGTGAGTCTGTGAGTACTCTGGCACTTGCTCTGTCCAGTCCATGGTGCGCTCAGCTTCATCACAGGCAAGAAAGCTGCATTTCACGTCTAAAGCTCCAGGTCCTGCAGGTCCCCCCAGCTAGGTCCAATTTTCACTTTAACATTCAGCTTTACCGAGATTTTGACGGCATTTTCCATCTCATGCTTGACAATCTGAGCTACCTACAAGGAAACACACAATATTAGGTACTGCAGTGCTCTGTTCAAGGATCAATACACATAGTCTCTGTTTTTCTGTCAATATCTGGGCTGGTCAGACACCTGGAGCTCTTTGCTGCATTTGTGTTTGCACTGATTTACCACAGACGGGAATGTGATCAAACGCTGTAATCCTGATTAGGATTTATGAATGGAGAAACTATTTGGAGCAAGTAACATTTTACGCGTTACAGAGCTGTGACGGGTGCCTTATTGTTGAAGACTACTCAGCAAAAAGGCAAGTGTAAATTTCCACTAAGCACCTGAGAGTCCTGCAGAGTCCCTCCCGTTCACACAGCTGTGTAATTCTAAGTATTTTATGGAGTCTGTTCTGAAAACATCAAAGTCCTCAAAGCAAGATAAAAAAAAAATTCACAAAACAAAGAAACCAGAGGCAAAAAACCTGTATCAGTGAGAGGCACTCTGAAACACAAACTATAAACTCCTGGGAAAGCAGGTCATATTTAATGCAGGTGTTAGATACCACCCTGGTTTACTCTCACAATTTTGTTGAGACAACCCCAGTAATTGCTGCCCTCAAAAGATACTTTTAAAAAACATTCATTTAAGTACACAGTCAGGAGCCCATAAGATATTTTTGCCTGTGACTCTCTGGATCAGAGAGAGAGACTAGATTTCTTCCTGACAGTCAACACCTGTCTTGGATAAAAGGACCCCCTTTCCTACCCCAAGACCCACATAGTCCAGCCTGTCCTGGTTTGCTTGTATGAATGAATCTTTCTGTCCACACTCACCTCGTGTGGACATCCACAGCAGAGTGAAAAAGGAAACCTTTGAAATGACTGGGACCCTTCATCTCAGCTAGAGGGTCAAAATAGGAATCACTCAAGCTTTTTAACTCCCCAGTGCCTTCCCATAATTCCTTCAGAGGTACCTACAGTAGAAATTCCTCCACAATTTTAACTAGGGAAATGGAGGAGGGGGGGTTGAGGAGATCAGAGCAGAAGAAGAGTTTACAACAGTGCTAAGAACAAGGAGATGTGCTTTTCAAAATATTCAAAATGATTTTGATAACCTAGAAAAATGCTTTCAAACAGGATGTAATTCAGTACAGACAAGTACAAAGTAGGATAGAAAGCAGGACAGAAAGCCAGGATAGAAATGAGCTGCTTGAACATATGATGAAGAATAACTGGCTAGGCAGGAACAAAATGGCATTATCAGAGATTAAAAATTGAACAGAGTTAAAGCAAGGCATACTGTTGTGAAAAGAAAACAAACATGATTCTGGAACGTAGAAAAATAAAATGCTACTTGTGCAACGTTCAAATCAATCTTCCACTCTATTCAACACTGCTATAGCCTTGACTGGAAGTTTTGGTCCCAATATCTTAAAAGAAACGCGAACCGTTCAGAGAAGATTCTCCGAGAGTAGTCAGAGGTCCAGCACACACAGCCAGTGAGGAACATCATATTAGGGCTGCTGCACCCAGAAAAAGGGAGGTTTAGTCTACTGAAAAAGGCTGCAGGGGAGACAAAACCCTGCATGAAGTTCCTGGGGAAGCTGATGGGATTGCTGCACACCAAAGCTGTGACCTGGGGTTTGGGCTCTCAATTTCCTGTACACTGAGCAAACAGCACCATTTCCAAAGTTCTCAGTGCCCATCCAAAACACACATAGAGGAATACTGGACAGCCTAAAAGCATAAATGCAATTATGCTGAGAACACATAAGCAGTTAAAGAGCATCTAGCCTTTGATTGCTAAACTAGTCCACAGCTCTATGTTCCTACCTGACTCCTCATCGCCAGGGTCAGCTCAAGAACCTCAGTCAAGCCACCTTTGGCAATGTGAGACACAACTTTGCTGTAAGGCAGCAACCTAAAAGGCAGCTAAGAACAGTAGATTTCACCAGCATAGATACTAACCATGCTAGGATCATCTAGAAGACTTCAAAACAGGGAGATCTCCTTGCAAAAAAAAAAAATACGCAGCTAAAGTAAAATGGAAGATGGTATGTTAAATTTAAAGCCCTACTTAATACTTTACTTTACAAATGATTCACCTATTTTGATCCCTACTTTCATTCTGAAGCTCTGCACAGGCTTTGAAAGCCCTGATATGCAAAGTTTTTCACACCTCTGGCAGAAGAAAAGACATATTATCCCAATTTGGTCTTCTAAAAGAGGCAAAGCTCACTGGAATTGTTTTCTTATAAGTCATTTGTAAAGAGCCCCGATACTCTGTTGCCCGGAACATAAATTCCTAGATATACTGAGAGATTTTTAGTTTTCTTTTTTAGCAGCTGCAAAGAAGCTGGAGCCAGCATCAAGCATGCGACCAAACTAACTTGTCAGACTAAGAATTGCTGCTGCAGCCAAGAAATACATGATTTACTGCATAATAAAACTTTGGTGCCGCTAAGATGGAAAAAATAATCTCTCCAATACAGAAACCAAGAAGTGCCCACTTCTTTTTCACTAAAAGGTATTGTAGCAAGAGACACCTCAAGAAATCCTTTCCAAACTGTATCTTCCTACTATAAGACAATTCTGAGGCTGCATTAGAAGGGAGGGGAGGCAACGTTTTCACAAAGACCTTTTCTGGCCCTAAAAACAATTAATCAAAAGGATTAGAAGCGAATTGCTGTCTCAGCTAGAAAGAAATCCTCAAGCAATAATCAAGCTAAATCTGCAACAGAAATGGAAAGCCTGAGTCTAGAAAATGTGTCTTGCATGCATATGCTGTTTTAATGACTGCCCAGAAAAATCTACAGACAGGAATATTTCTGAAGGAAGTTAGAGAAGCTGGTAATAATTCCCCTCGAAGCTGAGACGGTTCTGAATTATGTAAATAATAACAATAACAATAAATATTAAGGAAATTCATTTGGCCCCAGTTCTTCTGGAGACACTATGACATCCTGGATCCAGTGTCTAAAGAAGCAAAAGCCTATACTCTAAGGGGATTTCAGTCTTCTACAGAGTGAAAATTAGGAGGCTTTTCATCTTCTGAAACAGCACACATCTTAACAGTGTTGGCAAAATGAACAAATGGTAGAGGCGGGATTCAAGAGAAAGCTATTAAATCCTTTGTTTTTAAGGAAATTACCAAAAATACACTCAGTCCAGTCACTATCACTAAAAGGTCTCCAAGTGTAGCAGTTACTGTTTGCCATCAGGAAATGTCCTGGTGTTGTTTCAGACATGTACCCGGAGAACAGAAGCAGAGGAAAGACACTGCCAAGGTATGGAAGCACGTTTTGGGAGCCCTGTCCCTGGATTTGGGCTCAGGACTTGGGCAGACACTTAGCTGCTAACGTATGATAATGCTTACTACTGGAAGCCATCACAGGGAAAACGGTACGCCCAGGTGCAGGAGCATCTATACAGTGGAAGAGCACGCACAGGGATATATATTCCCCTTGAAAGGTGCCGTTAAGTTCACACAACATCTTTCTTGTATCTACCATGCTGCTAACCGTACGAGATCTTGCCAGAGAAAGACTGGTAGGCAGGGAATGAGAAAACAAGTACTAAAAACACAGAGTCCTACCTGTAACTGAGATAGGCACAGACAGGCAGGAGCATAACAGGGAGGCAAATATACCTTGGAATAAACCATGGGAATTACCAAATGAGAAAAAAACTCCCCTCTATAGTACCAACAGTCATCAAGCTTTGTACAGAAGTTGCACGAACTGCTGTTACAAGCAGCAAAGCACACACATTTGGAACAGAAACTATCAACTTTTGCCATGGAAACGGCTCAAGCCCCAAAATAGCGGGCTCCAGCATACTGACATAGTTTTTCATCCCATTGAACTTTTGGCATACATCCAGAGAGGATTCAGAGACCAAAAGCCAAGCCCTTAGAAGGAGGGCTTGTCTGAAACGCTGCAATGCAGTAGATGGCTAAAAAGCAACTGCACAACTGTACCTGGATGACATCATCCTCTGCGACTTCATAGAGGAGCTCATCATGGAGCTGGAGAATAAAGAAAGCTCCACTGACAGGAGGTAACATCCCTCTGCTTCTCTTCCCCTCTAGCCTTCCTACACAGGTGAAGAGCACAGTTTGTTAGATAGCATTATGTAAAGACATAATTTGATTTCTCGTAATCAAAACACTTGCACATATTTGTAACGCTGAGAAAGACAGTATGAGGAACCTTAAAATGAAGAAGTCTGTGCACACAGATAAAAACACCAAACATTACAATTCTATCAATATTTGTACAGCTACTGAGGGAAAAATGTTAATGAAAAGCATTTTACATATAAACATTTCAGCCTTAAATTATAAAGATGTGAATCAGAACAGAAACAAGACAGACAGTTGCACCTCCTGAACCATCTGTTTTAAAAGTAAATTTTAAACAAAATTATGTCAAGTTTAATCAGAACTTGGTTTATAACGTTCTCTCCGGCAACGAATTAGGATTCTGCTTTTCTTCCTAAATCATTTTAATGGCTAGTTCTAAAGAGCCAGTAAGACTCCTTCAACCCAGCCAAATGCAGTTATCTGAAGCCGTAGCTACTACTCTCGATAAAAAATGAGCAGTCTTTGAATAAGCTAGTAAACAGCTGACACAACAGAATCCTGGTAGGCCATGCCTGCCAAAGACAGAATGGAACAAACTGTTCCCTGGTAAAGGCCTTAAATGAAGAAAAAAAAAAAAATCTACACACAGACTCAGAAGTTATTTATCAGGTTAGCAAACAGAAGGATTCCAGTTCACAATCGCAGGAAGGGCTTCACTGCACCATCAATTCCTCACACAAATCTCACACTGAAATGGAGCAACGCTGAAGAAGCCACATGCTTCAGCATGCATCTCTGTTGGGATAGGCATCTATAAATTGCTGAAAGGGAACTCTTTCAAATTCTTGAAACAGATGGTATTAGAGGGAAAAAAAAAAAAAACGCCAACCAAATGCAACTGCTCTCCTTCCTTCCATTACACTGGACAAAGACCAGTAGCTTCTGGTTCTGGGGAGGGTGGGAAGTTCCTCCAAGCACATGCCCTCTCCTTATAGCAAAGGTGCATCCTTTGCAGACCTTTGAATCTTGGCTCTCTAAAATAAAACTCCTTGACATATTTTTAGAGGTTCAATAATTAATTATTTAGTTTTCCTTCTCAGGCCTAAGAATCAATTACGACAGCTTCACGTTACAAGTTGAAGCATATGAACTATCAAACAAATGCAGCACTCCACCCCTTAAATTATCTTTCTAAAAATATATGACAGATGACTATAATACGCTAAAAAGGTCTTCACAGCCATCCTATGGGAACGAGTACCCCAGCATAGCCCTGCTAACTGCAGCCAGAGCAAAGTCACGCTGATAAACACTTCATATAATGCTATTGTGGAGTCTCTGTATATAGGTCAATATAGGTCAACAAATTCCAGACTTAATTCTAACAAAAAACATACTGTTTGGAACAAGAAGTTGTTCCACTATCTTTTCACTGCCTTTAAAGCCAGAGCATCCGCTCGGTTTCTGCTTCCTATTTTTGAACGAACCTGCAGCGGCATCACAAGAGTATCACATAAATACTCCAACTACCAACATTTGCAAGAGGTACTTTGAGGTGATTGGGGTTTTTGATCACAGCATTTGCTTTAGTTTATGTCTTGAGCAGACAGTCTCCCTCCTTCCCTAGGACTGCCCCGCCTGTTAGACACAGTCCTACTGTTGTCAGGAAACAAAATTTGTCTCCCGCTCCTGGCCCAAGGCCCCTAGCTTTGGCAGGGGGTGCTTTTCTTTCAATTTGTAACATCAGAAGTTTCAGTCTAGGGCACATGGCAGAGGTGAGCGTACCAGTCTTATCCCTCTGGAATGAGCTCTCCAGATGTCCATGGGACTTGATCGCAGAGGAGAAACCTTCCAGGCGCCTTTGAATGTTCACGGTGGCTGTTTTGACGATGTCAGCAGCAGATCCCTGAACAGTTGTATTCACAGCCTGTCGCTCTGCCTAAACAAAGATACTTGTTCTCAACACCCACCCAATAAATTAAATCCAGCATGTCACATGTAATTCATCAATAAATCAATCCATGGCAAAATGCAGGCATACTAAAATGTCCAGACAAAAGGTTAATTGTATCTGCCAGAGAGGAAAAGACATAAGACTAGCTTCATACACAGAATTTCTCCAGGGGACTAAGAAAAGCAGGATTTCTACAAATTTAAAAAGTATTAATATCAAAGGCAAAAACCTGCAAAAGTCACAAGCCACGAGATGGAGAAGCCTATACCCATAACAACAGAGTTTCATGAGCACAGGAAAACTCTCAGTCAATCCAAGCAGCACAAAACACTTCTGTATTTTCAAAACTATCAGGAATGGACCATCAAAAGCAAAAAATTCACTGACTAATAATCTGATCTACTGCAGCAAACCCTGACTGCCAGATCATCACAGCTGTGCAAACACACATCAGACTACACTATTACAAATGACATTTTTCCCCCACACAAGAAATCTCTCTACCAGTCCTCTCCTCAGACAAGTAAACTGTCTTGAGAGGTTCTTCCTTCTCCAGATTAGGACTGAAAGGGAGGCAAGACAGTTATGAGGAAGCTGAAATAAAATTCATTAACTGGTCTTTAACAGAACTTTAAAGACTAAAAGGAAGTTAAACAGAAGGTGCATCTGTGAAGCCCCATGTCATAGTACCCTTCAGATTCAATAACCAAATCCTCTCTAAAAAACCCATTCTTTTGAAAGTCTCCGGGTTCTCCTTTCAACAACTTGAGGTACAAACTCCTCCACCTCCTCCCTCCTCTTTAATTCCACACGTTCTGATTCAGCTGCATACTGAGAAGTGTAACACTTCCTCCCCACAGAAATGCAGCATCTCCCCAGGAAGCCAATTTGCTCTTACTGAAGTACAGCATCTATGATAGGTGTGTCCAAAATGACCTTGAAAAAAAAAAAAAATGTCTGTGCATAGGTTTGTATTAAGTAAATATTTATCTAACTAGTTATACTAAATTTTTCCCTTAAGGGCAAATGAGAAAAAGAATAAATACCCAAAACCACAGGACTTAAAACGCCCTTACTTGTTCAAGCGCTGACAATATATAACACGCAAAGACTGCTGAGTGGGAACAACTCAGCCTGAAGAGTTAAAAACATCGCTATGTGGAGGCTTTTTAAAATCATGTCCACTTATATCAATATATTACTCATTCCATTTCCAACGTGGGAGTTATGAAGTGAGGTTAGAACAGTGATGACAGCTGTACCCTAAGTCACAGAAGACTTACGTCAAACAAATCATGACAAAAGCTTTGTTATTCAGAGAACAACTGAGGGAATAGTGAACTCGGTGAGAACTGGAAGGTCATGACTAAAATGGGTGACAGACCTGTAAAGCTGCAGTTACAGATATGTAGAAAACGGATACTTAAAAAAAAAAAAAAAAAGAAGTGCTGAGGTCAACATACATGAGCTTTACTGTAGGGGTTTGGATCTGTGATAGCTGGCAGATATCTCCGTCTCCCAAGAATAGTCTGCACAAACCCATCTCTTTTGCAGCTCCGCACCGTCTCCCTCAAGAACTTCTGAATCCCTGTGAAAGGTAAGAAAAAATATGCACTAACACAGCTGATGTTTCATATTAACTCCTCACCGGGGTCACTGGAAGGGGTCTTAGAAACCTAAAAAGGACAGAGGTAGGTAATGCTTTACATTCCCTAGACCCTGTCAGTGACGGAGATAAAAGCACAGGATCACTCATTCAGCCTATTCTCACCTCTGCTGGGTGAACTTACAAAGACTTTGAGGTGTAAGAAAACATGCATATTGTCAGGATATCTGGCTGTGCACAAGGTGGTAGGAAGTCAGCTCTGCACAGTGGCAAGAAACAGAGCACGATACACGTATTATTGATAATGGAGAGGTCAGGACCCAGAGCAACACTGGAAAGACAAGTAGCAGGAAGGGAGTAAGTTGAAAGTAGAAGTCAGAGCCCTTGATGCCTCAGGCTGCCCAATTTCAGACGGTCACTTCAGATTCTAGGATGAAACAAACTCACCCAGCTGTGCTCTGGAAGGGAAGAAGCAAATACATCAAGGACGTTAAAAAGAAATTTAGGTCAAAGTATGGCAAAACAGGGAAAAAGTCCTTTTCATTGCAAATTCAGAAAATAACTGCACTGAAATGGAAAAAGTTAATTCCAGACATTTTCTTTCCAAGGTATACAAAATGTAAAGCATAAGAGGAATATTCAAGATCAAGCTTGACAGTGTTAGTTAATTTGTTAGGTATGTAATTTAGTATGTCAGCCTGGCATTACATACAAGTGAAAATTCACAGGAAGAGAAGTTGCAATATAGTGGTCTTTACATACTGCAGAACGTGAGCACAACAGGTGTGCGTGTGCTGAGAGGGGAAGAAGGCAGGAAGTCATTTCTAACATCTTCGAAGGAAAGACTATCCCAGAAGTTACTGGAGACTGGACAGGCTCTTAATGGGACGGCATTTCTCAGCACTTGTCACTTGAATAAAAACAAACCCTGAATCTTCAGAACTTTATTTTCCAGCTCATTTCCAAGTTTTACAATTAGAGCTTGACCTTCACTCATTTTCTGATTGCAACTCTACTCTTGCTATAGCTTTCCTAGGGAAAATTAAGAGTTGTCTTAAGAAGTGCAACGTCTTTTTACAAAGTATGGGAGAGCTACTCTGAGCAGCTGGAAAAAAAATGTAAGGGTTATATGAAAAATAGTTTAAAATTCAATGAAAGCAGAAGAATAGAAGAGATAAACGCTTGTATTTAAAACAATAAGAACTTTGGTGCAAAGGCATATTACGTATCTGTTAAAACCATGTGTTTTAATAAGAAAAAGAACGCTTCTTATCCAGAGAGCTGAGAGCTTTAAAATTAATCCCCAGGGTTGATTAATGAACAAAACAAAAAAATTAATTTACTGAGAAAATAACAATGTCCTGAAGATGAATAAAACAGGACCGCAGAGTACATTATAGAGTACCAAACAGCTCTGTTCATGCGCTAGACTTTTTCAAAACTTTTTTAAAATGGAAACAATTTTTGAACCGGATAGGAGTAACAGAGGGCAGAGACAAATATAGGATTTGAAGAGACATGAAGTGAAGAGGGGGAGCCCAGCTCCTAAACACCCATATCCTAACCTGTGTATCTGGATTTGAAGGACTCAATGTAGTCGGCAGCTTCACTTTCATCAATCCCCATCTGCTCGCCTAAAGATTTTGCTCCTATTCCATAGATGATTCCATAGCAAATCTGCCAGAGGACAGTCAGAAGAACCACAACCATATGGTGAGCCATGCAGAGAAAGCAGAGCCAAAATAAAGTTTGAATCACTGGAAGACAAACGTGTGGGGGCAAGGGCATGGTACAAGCCGCTCTTCCCCCTTCATCCCCCAAAACCCTGTCAGCACCAGTTGAAACTTCCGGAGAACAGGAGGACATATAAAGCAACTACTAAACAGCTACTGGCCTGAATAACTCCAGTCACACCCGAACCCAAAGAGAAAACCTTACTGTTGGGATTCCCTGGTGTTCTGGTCACCAAACCTTCCTGCTCAGCAAGCTGCCGCAGAATTATTTTTCCTAAAAAATTACCTGCTTAGCTTGTTGCCTGATGCTATCTCCAACAGCTTCAGGATCAATCATTTTCCATTCCGCTGCAATGCTCTTAAAGACATCAATACCTCCGCTCAAGGCTTGAATGAGTCGGCAGTCACTAGACAAGTGAGCAAGGATCCTCAGTTCAAGCTGAGAGTAATCAGCAGCCAAGATTAAGCCACCTGAAGTCAACAACAAGTTAGCCTGAAGCAATATTATTTCATAAATTACTCCAACCACATGATCATCCATTCCTTGAGAAACTGAAGGCCTGAATCACATCTGCTTGACTGTTGCCATCATTTATGCCTGCATGATACTAGTGCAAAGAGGATATAGCACGTGCTACTAAATCAGGACTCTCCCTCATGCACTGGAAGTAGCTTCCCACAAGCATAAACAGCTACTATACACAGTGAAAGAGACTGAAACTTCGAAGGTGCTCTACTTGCACCTTCTGCTCTGAAAGTTTTCCACATCTATGCAACTTTCTACATACACACCCATAGATGCATGACATGGCATGAAAACTCTTACTCCAACCAGCCTCAATCTGTTTTCTTGTGAAAACAGGTTAATGGGTTGCTTCTGCCACGGCTGAAAGTCTTGCCAATCAGTGGTATAAATGAAATCGGATTCTTGCCTGTTCCCCCAAAGTCCAAGCCTCCCTGCTTACCACCCAGCCCCTACATATAGGCTCCATTGAGTACTCCCAGACAAGTATCTGTTCAGGCTTCTGTGCAACAGTCTAGCACCTCATAGGAATGATGAGCACAGGGATCAGACCAGCAGACTCGCACTGAGCCAGGGCAGGCAATGTGACTGACATGAGGAACATTTCAGCAAATGTTAGAGAACGTTTTGTGCAATTTGTGCCTTATTGGCTGCATAAGCATAGCTCCTTAAAAACTACATATTCTTAAAGAGGGAATGAAAGTGTGAACATTTAAATCATAGCATTTGAATGCTTTCCCCAGTCAAAACGCTCTCCTTTACAGTCTCCTTGTGAATGTTTCTGAGGGCAAACTCTAACTACAGCATTGGTTTTCCACGTAGGCCTGCTCTAACAGCTACATATTGTCACTATTTCTTCCACGCCACCTGAAGTCAACAACAAGTTAGCCTGAAGCAATATTATTTCATAAATTACTCCAACCACATGATCATCCATTCCTTGAGAAACTGAAGGCCTGAATCACATCTGCTTGACTGTTGCCATCATTTATGCCTGCATGATACTAGTGCAAAGAGGATATAGCACGTGCTACTAAATCAGGACTCTCCCTCATGCACTGGAAGTAGCTTCCCACAAGCATAAACAGCTACTATACACAGTGAAAGAGACTGAAACTTCGAAGGTGCTCTACTTGCACCTTCTGCTCTGAAAGTTTTCCACATCTATGCAACTTTCTACATACACACCCATAGATGCATGACATGGCATGAAAACTCTTACTCCAACCAGCCTCAATCTGTTTTCTTGTGAAAACAGGTTAATGGGTTGCTTCTGCCACGGCTGAAAGTCTTGCCAATCAGTGGTATAAATGAAATCGGATTCTTGCCTGTTCCCCCAAAGTCCAAGCCTCCCTGCTTACCACCCAGCCCCTACATATAGGCTCCATTGAGTACTCCCAGACAAGTATCTGTTCAGGCTTCTGTGCAACAGTCTAGCACCTCATAGGAATGATGAGCACAGGGATCAGACCAGCAGACTCGCACTGAGCCAGGGCAGGCAATGTGACTGACATGAGGAACATTTCAGCAAATGTTAGAGAACGTTTTGTGCAATTTGTGCCTTATTGGCTGCATAAGCATAGCTCCTTAAAAACTACATATTCTTAAAGAGGGAATGAAAGTGTGAACATTTAAATCATAGCATTTGAATGCTTTCCCCAGTCAAAACGCTCTCCTTTACAGTCTCCTTGTGAATGTTTCTGAGGGCAAACTCTAACTACAGCATTGGTTTTCCACGTAGGCCTGCTCTAACAGCTACATATTGTCACTATTTCTTCCACTCTTCATCAGATCTAAGGTTTTTTTTTTTTTTTTTGTTATCTATATTCTCAACATAATAGCTGGTACAGAGCAGGATCCGGGTATTACCTGGGAAAGGAACAAAAGCATGCCTCATGCTAACAGAAAATGGGATTCCTCTTTCTTCAGCTCTGTCTTCAGCCTGAGCCTTGGAGCCATCAGGCAAAGCACGGGAATGTTTTTTACCTCTGTGGAGATAAAGAAAATGACAGTACTTCACTGGTTTCTAAGCCACTTAAACATGCGTAATCATTTTTTCCAGCAAAAGAATTAGTGAAAACAGAGACACTAGCCTCTATTCCATTCTTCTGCACAACCCATACCTATTTTGACCATGGGAGAATTAAACAGAGGCTGTATGTATACTTGAAGGGATTTACTGATTTTGAACAGATTTAGGGGTAAATTCTCCTTGTATATTCAGTGTTTGGCCCAGAGATTGGATAATTCCACTCCAGAACAGGTAAGATGAAAGGTCCCAAACCTGTAATGGGTGCAGTCCAGAAAGGCAGTTAAGGGGCCTTACAGGAATCCTAAAAATTCAATACCCCAGCTCGAGTGCCAAGTCTTCTCCCAATATCATTTTCATGCTAACACCCACACCAAACCATATCCACTAGAGACAGGAAAAATTTCCCCACAACACCAGACTCAGGAATGCACACACACACGTGCGCGCTTGCATACACACATGCTCGTGTGCACACAAGCAAGCCTGCAAAAGCAGAGCAGAAGTTGCAAAAGATACCTTTAGAATACACTGCACTTTTCCTCTCTAAAGATGGAGCAAAAAATTGCCCCAAAACCACCTGATTTTTTTCTTCCAGAAGGCCAGAAGTTCACAGTGGCACCCAGGTGCTCTGCAGTCTCTCAGGTCTTACTTAGCTCTCATGTTTCCCCAGGTCACCCGTAGCTGCAGATGGGACTGCATCCATCAGTGCACCAGCTGAACAGTGCACAGCTGTGACACATTCACTTCTTTTACTCCCATCAGCACCTATCAACCAGCTGGCTTTCTGTATTCTTCACTGGAAGTCTAGTCAGAGCCCTTATGTGTGGGAAATCAAGGCCAGTTCCAAATAAAGCAAAACCATGGAAAAGGCATCGTGTTCTCTTCCTTTGGGCACCTCCTTTTCTTCTTGTACCTTGTTATTTCAGGAGTGGCAGGGACCAAGGAAGAGGAAAGATCCCACAAAAGACATGGAAATAAGTTTTCAAAAGAAATAGCTGAAGGTTAGTGGTAACACATGCAAACTGCAGAGAACCACCCTGAGTGGTCATCACAATTTAGTTGAACGAATAAGGGCTTTTTTACCACAATATAATTTAGCTACACTCCCTTGCTCAGAAGCTTCTTAAAACAGAAGGAAGGAGAAGGGTCTCTGACACCTGGGCACGTTACTAAGACAAAGGACAGTTTGAACTGAAGGTTGGAAGTCCTGTCACCTGCATACTTGGGCGGGTGACTACACGACAGCTTCTTTTGTGCCAGCAGTCATTTTTGTACCTTCTAGGAGTACCCATCTTCCTAACACAGAGGCTTAAATAAGGAACGTATTTCCAAAAGTCAGCCTGAGAAGGCGGCCTCTCTCAAAAAGTACAGCTAGCGCTCCACTTCTCCAGTGGGCTGCTTCTCTACGGGGGAGTCTCTAAGAACCCAGCACACACTCTGTTCAACCTACAAAGCTGCTGCAAGCTTGACCACTACCAGAACAATTCCTCAAACTGAGCCAGGTCTCGTGCTTCTCCCAGAGAAGAGAGACAATAGACGAGATCCCGTTACTCCTGTGCTCCCGTGACTGACCCATTCACAAGGCACAAGGATGTGCAAGGCACATAGTGGTAGGAGAAGAGATAAAAAGATACATCTTGATAGATCAGATTGCTATGCAATCATTTAGGCATTTGCATGTAATGCTATCAAAATAGAGTATTTGGTTAACAGAAATCAGATTTAGAATCATTCTGCAATCTGGGTGCTTTTGCAGGAGCTGCTTTATAAGAAAATTACTAACAACGAGCAAAAAAATATGTTCACCCGTGCTCTCTGCCACACGCAGCTGCACTGTACAAAACAGTTGCACTTTCTTCTGCTCCTCCCACAATATTCCCATCCTCTTTCAGAGGAGGTCCTAGAAGGTTGAACCAGATTCTAACTTCAGTTTGGTTATTCTTCACACACAGGCTTTCCACGCAATAGTAAGGAGGATAACGCTAATCTCATCTCTGTAGGGTTTCATAAAGAACCTCAAAAAGCACGTGGCAAATGGAGCCACGTACTGTTATTTAGTCTTATTAGGCCTTTCACACATCACTGATTCTTAGGTTATCTGTTCCCCTGAAATTTTAAGAGAAACACTGAGTAATGAGTCACGCGGACATGACCACAGCCGTGGGGGAAGTCAGAAAAGAAAAATTTGACAACTCAACCACACTAAGACAAGTAGAACAGACAGGAGCTTTGCCACGATGCTCCTACCTTCCTCCAGAAACAGCACGAGAAAAACCATTTCCCTGGGCTTGGGAGGGTGGGCTCTCTTCAACCACGATTGGCATTTCTATCTCAAAGTCTCTTGGCACATTCTGGATATTTGGCTCTGTGAAGGCTATTCGACCTGAGAAGTAAGACAAGCCAAAATTAAGAAAGGGCACAAAGGAGCCTCTCTAACCTAATATAGGAAAGCACATATCTGCATCTCCAATAACCAAGCGTTTCTGGGCAAAAAGAAGAACTGAGGAAACGGAAGTATTGTTTCCACTGCTGCTTTGTGAGCTAAGAAACCCGCTAGGAGAAGCGAGACCAAAAGTGTTGCCCGTCAAGCCCCTTTACAAACAAATCTATTTTCCTGCCTTACTACGCTTTCATTCTAAACTAGAACGTCTTTCTGTGGTGATGGATGCTTTGTAGTCTTGTGTTTTCCACAGGGAATCACAGCTGTAACAGCCTCTTGGATTCTGTTCTCAGCTTAGCCACCATCTTTGCCAATGTTGTCACAGTTCTGTCCCTCATTTCCCTTGCTTTTAAGATAAGGATATGTTTTCATCATTTCTCCAAGAAGTAGTGAGTAAATTTAATTTGGATTTAATGGGTTTGAGATGGTTTCCCCTGCAGCATTTCTATATCATTAATAAGAAACCCTGAAATACTGGACTTGTTCTGGGGTCAAAGATTTACACGCCAATATGTGCAAGAAATGAGTAATACTACCCAGGAAATACAAAAGCTATGGATTACAATGCACCTAGACTTTTAGGGCAGATTAATGCAAAATAATTGTTCTAATATTTTGACTTAGTTTTGAAAGACAAAACAGGCTCCCTGCCCCCCTACCCCCCCTCCCCACCCCCAAAAAAAAAAAAATCAATGAAAAGGGAGGCTTTTGCACGTATTTCTTTACCTGTAGCTGTGTGAGTCTGTGACACTGGATATATCCTCTCCATTCCTAGTGCAGGATGGAAACGCTTTTCCCTCTGTAGTGGGAACACCACTTTAGTAATGGCATTGTTGATCCTTCTCCATTCCAGTATCAGCCCTGGCAATGGGTGAAGCGCCTTTAATTTCTCCAAAACATCCTTGAAGGGAAAAAGGGCACTATTATAATTAGCTGCCTTAAAAGCTTAATTATTAAATACAGTTTTTGCAGTTCTGCAGGGAAAAGCAACATCTTTACCCACAGTGAGTTTCCAAAGTCACTGCTTCGATATCACACGGACATCCCCTCCAGTTGCACTGCCTACACCTGGGCAATGTAAGCACCATGAGACCCAGCTGCAGTACATCACACACAGCAAGGCAATCACCTCTCTCTCTGGACTTGAGTCCTCATCACCACTCTTCATCTGCACCAACAAATAAGTCACCTGAAATGGTCAAATAAAGCATCGCTTGCCACGAGTCCCCTACGTTGTCTCCTCTCGCTCAGCCTTAATGCTGCTCCTCCTCCATCTTCTTGCATATTTCTCTCCCTGCTCTCTCTCCTATCTGTATGCTAGGAACACATAAAATGAAGGCCTCGACCACGCTCCTTGCGAGACAAAGCTAGCAATACAATCTTTTCAGTTAAAATCAGAAATATGAAGGGACTAACAGGAATTTCGATCATTTGCATGAGATCATTTCTCAAAATAACATTTCTGTAATACAGCAGGTAGCTACAGCCTCAGCCCTCTGCATAGCAAAGGGAGGGAATCCTCACTTTGCCTCCTGCTCTCTGCCGTGCCACCACTAACACACAGTTCTTCACTGCCACTTGAGTTTCAGAGATCAATACTTGCCTTCCAGCCGCTGACTACACTGAACAAGGGAAAAACTAAGAAAACGACACAAATGAATGAGTCCTGAAAACAAACTTACATATATCTGCTAATATCACTTGTCTGACAACAGCAGCCATTAGTATATTAATACTAATTACCTCAGGCTAATATTAATATATTTAGTAACTGGCAAGCATGTTGATGGCTTTCCGATATACACAAGCTTTTGATATGTTCAATTTGATAGGGCCGATTACGCATACTGAAAACAGATTTTCTGAAGCACAAAACATAGATACACTAGTAACGAGCAAGAAAAATACTGTTTAATCACCTTATTTAAGTATCTTTCAAGCTGATGTTGAAAAATTCTTCTGCTATTGGCTTTACAAGATTACTATGCTATTTTGGTCTTATACTTTGTTCTGCAAACCAAATTCTGCCTGATTTATCCTTACTGAAGCCTTCTATTTATAGTTAACGTCCTCACTACATTCAGGCCTCCACAGAGGAGGAGGAGTTAATAACTCCACTAATGGAGAAGGCGGCAGAATCCAGATTGAGTTTCCAGTGGTATGTGGAGGAGCAGAAGGCAGTAAAAATTTACTATCATTTAAGTCAGCAAACCTAACTCTGATGCACCCAGGGAGCAGATGTGTGAATTAAGAGGGAGTTATTTTTACAGTCACTTTCAGACTAGAAACAGATTTTACTGTACCTTGGTTGTACTGAACTGCTTACTCAGCCTAACCCTGCTCCCATTAGCAGTTGCTCTTCTGGCACAACCCAGAGTTTTCTTGTTCCCTTTAATTTTCACATCTCCGTTTCGCGGCAACTTCAGCTCCAGGAACAAAACCTGAAAAATGGCAACATTTCCAATCAGTTTCTGTGTGCTGCTCCTCGGAGAAAACAAAGAGTGACTAAGCATTTAAACAGCTTGTATTCTAACCCAAGGATAGTACTAATGCTTCAGGTAATTAAAAAACCATTAAAGGTCTGTGCTATCAAAGTCGTTCCTCCTCATTTTAATTAACTACAAAACACAATCTAAAAATCTCATTTTCTAAATACTGTAAGTTTGAGTTCAGATGTATGTTTTTAGAAAAGGTAATTAACTCCTTCTAGTAAGCGAGGTTACTGCTGACAGCCAACTGTAATAAAGTATAGAGTTAAAATGACTAAAAACTGGAAGAACGTTGGCAGAGAAAAGAAATCTTTGTAGGGAACAGGCTTCAGAGCAACACAAACGGCACAAAAGGAATTGGTCACAAATACTTTTTTCGAAATAGCTTGAACGTTAGTTTTTCTAGCAATTTGCCAGGAAGTGGAAAATGAAGTACATGTTCATTTGTCAACAGATACAATAGAGATCTTCATTTTTCAGTCTGTGTTTTTGTGTAGCATAATACACTATTTAACAGCTATTGTGTTTCATTTCACAAGTGGCAGAAGGGAACAGAAGTTGCTTTCTCATACATTTGCGTAGCACTGAAGTTTTACGGACACAAAATTAGAAGAGGGTAAGATACAAGATACGCCACGTGGTTCCTAACAAAATTTAGACATGAAAAACAAGCTTCCACAGTTCAGAGAACAGCATTTCAGAAAAGCTTTTCTTCCCCTTTTCCCTGAAGCAGAGCGATATTAGACCAGAGTACTATTTCCAGAGTTCCAACTGGTCTTAGACTAATGTTATGGAGCAAAACTTCGGTAATTGCATCAAAGAAGGAACATTTTTGTGGAACTTCTTCTAGTGATGGCTGCTTGCAAACTTGGACTACTGTGGAAGAAAAAGACCAAGAGAGCGCACGAGCAAGAGAGCGCACGAGCAAGAGTAAAGCCCCCTCGGAGAGAAACTGGTATAGAGAACTGAACTAAAAATGTCAGAACATCTGCACAGCAACTCTAATTTATTCTTATAAGCAGTATACTTCATCTATATATATATAAAAATATATGTGTGTGTGTGTGTGTGTGTGTGTGTGTATACACACATACACACACATATAAAGACAGTAAAGTTATTTAGGAGAGAAGAGGAATAAAAGTATTATTAATTTAAATACAAATCTATCTGTTTCTTAGGCTATTATTAAAGAGTTCATTTCTATACACAAGTCTGCAGGTTCTTAAACACAGACAGTATTTGATTCAAAACTCTGAAAGCAGTCTTTCCTTCTCTGTCATGCCTGTACAGGGACAGGAGCAACAAAGGAACTTCTTCAGTACAATTACTTTTAGTCTCAGATTACACAATATTGCAGCTCATGTATGCAAAAAAACTGACATTGCAACAAAGCAGCTCTAATGCTGCCCTATTAACCCAAAATATTCCAAAAGCCATGTGACTGGCAGATCATCTCATGTACCACCAGAAGCCAAGGTCTTACAAAAACAACATATTTGTTTCCACTCAGTGCTTCCCCTCTTCTTCTTTATTTCTGGTGAACTTGGTAGAAATCACAATGATCACAAACAGGCTGCGCTTTGCAGGTGAGGGGCTCGTGATGAGTGTAAAGATAAATCAATTTGGAGTAGAGTTAAATTTGGATTTTGTCTTTTCTTCATATACTCTCTGCCCTCTACAGTTTTCACTAACTCTAAGTGAAGGCCTCATGAGGGAGACTTCTGAGAACGTTCCCCCCGCTCCCCCCCTAATCTTCACATACCTCTGCGATATCATCAGGGCTGGTCAAGGAGAAGCTGTGGCCAGCAAGCTGATACACCTTGGTCTCAATCTCATTCAGTTTAGCTTGCATGACCTGTTTCTGGGTTTCATATGCTGTTGTGCTAAAACCAATGCCATTCAGCTCCAGCAGAGCCAAGCAATAATGGGTGGGCATCTCCACTTTAGAAAACACATCTGTAATAAGTACAAAACCCAAGGAAAAAACCAGATCAATTATAGCAGATTCATAAAATGCAGTTTAAGAATCCTAAAAAAACACCTAGATTTTAAAATCTTGACTGTCCTGGCACACTGAAATCTCTTAATACAGATTTAAGTTAAATACCTTTGTTTTCAGAATATTTTAGAATAACAGCTTGTGCCAAAAATGTTTTTGCTAAGAAAACATATCTCTTTGGATCCGAACATTTTATAAACTGCAGATCAGCCTAATACAAGGCTTTCTAACTTGATACACCTTCATTCCACCACTCACACCATTTAAAAGTGTTCCAAGATTTATCTATAATGACCATGAATTATGTTGTAAACTGGCGATACAAGACTTCAGTAAGCCTGGACCTTAACTTTAGGGTTTGGGTACAATCTAGTGGAAATAAAAGTCACAAGGCTCATGAACAGGGTGCATGTGTTTTTTTTTTAGGTTTTTTTTGTGTTTTTTTTTTTTTTTTTAAGTTTAAGGGGTTTTTTTAGTTTTTAAAACAGGGACAAGCAGATAGCAAATCTTAGTGGAAAAGTGCTGGACCATTCACGATGGAATCCCAAAAGTGTCACGGATACAACACACACACAGTAAAGAATTCCACAGGGGCAGGCCAGAGAACAAGAAGTCTCCTTCAGAAAACATTTGGGGATTTTAGGAATTGCCTCTGACAAGGAAAAGCAACAGCTTTTGAAAAAGCTCATGAGAAAGCACAGAGACATCCACAAACCCCCTCAGAACGGCCAGGGCACTCATTTGAGAGGTGAGAGTCCAAGGACTGAGTCTTTGCTCTGCTTTATTCATAGATTTTAAACAGGTTCTGCGATTACCCAAGAGGGTGCCTTAACCAATGGAACTGCTGGATATGCGAGGCACAGACACATCTTAAATCCTATCCTGAACCCACAAACTCTGCCCCACTGAATTTTTTGACAAAACAGATGTACTTCCAAAGGAAATTCCCTTTCTTCTTCTAACAAATCAGCATTTTGCAATACAATACACTTAGATAAGAACTCTCAAACCTCCTCTCTTTTCCACTGATCATTCAAGTTATGGTACCGTAGCTCCCCTTACCCTCCCACCTCCGCCCTGAACCAGAAGGGCTCTCTTTACCTGTCAGATTTTCCTTCTGTAATTCATTATGGAGTTGGTTCATGACATTGAAGATAAGCACAGACTCTATAGCTGCTCTGTACCGCCCAGAACAATCCGTACTGGCACTAAGCCCCAGGCTCTGCACCCCCTGGCCAGTGCCTACCCCTTCCAGTAGGGGTAGCTCGTGAGGGAGAAAGTTCGTCACCATGTTGTGAAGCGTACGCTCCTTAGAGCCAGAATCAAGCAGCCAACACGCAACCTTAAAAGAGAGACCCTCCATGAGACCGTTCTGCCATTTTAATCCTAATACAATGTACATAAGAAATTGCAGATTAATGCAAGGTTATAGGGCAGACCATTTTTCTTGATCTGGCCAGCAGACTGGAATCATTTGCAAAAAAAAGTTACATGCCTCTAAAGCTTTTCTTAACCAAGACTACAAGGTGCTTTTACTCTTTTTAGTGCTTCATTTGAGTTACAAATGGTACCCCTACATTTTAAAAATCATATGCAAATTTAATTTTGTTTTGAGGGACTTGTGGTAGTAAAGGGTGGCCACACACGCGGCAGGTAAATCTTCTGGTCACAAAGTCCTCTCCTCCCAGAACCAATAATCTAGCCTGAAGCACTTTTGCCATTTCGGTCCCAGGCTCCTTACAGCAACAAAACAGCATTTCAGCCCTGTCCACTGGGAGGGCGGAGGGATTCCAACTCATCTTCCTCATCCAAGGGTTCAAGTGTAAGAGATTAACATGTATTTAACAGACCACTGAATCTGCTCCATTTCTCTTGCAGACATCACAAAGGCATATAGCAGAAGCAGTCTCCTAAGTACTGCTCTAGATTTCCCAGTGGAAGAAAATTTCACTTAATCTCCTGACAGATGTGTGCAATCAATTCTAAAGAGCCTAAGCAAAGCACCAAAAAGTACTCATCTTTCCACTTGTGTGTTTAAAGCAGTAGTTTTGCACAAGCACTTTCTTAATCCTACATACCTTTGGGTCCTCAAAACTTCCTTCCAAGGAGATGCCACAAGCCATCACCAGGGTCTTGTAGTGCTGAATGAAGTTGTACATGATAAGCGAGCGCTCCTGCTTTGTTTTATTCTGCAGGTACAGCTGCAGATAATACAGTCTCTCTGTTACAGACAGGCTTTCGTCCAAAGGTGGTGGTGCCAAGCTCATACTGATTTCTAAGGCAGGAAATACAAGCAAGGAATCATTTCTTTACCCATTAGAAGGTAGGAAAGGTGAGAGAAAAATCTTGAACTCAATCAACTAAAACACAGAACAAAATACTGTTAGACTGTGAATAAAGAAGAAGAAAACTACGCTGATTTTATGCAATTCACCGAACCAAATGTAGCACCCAAAAAACAACGTGCTGTTATCTATACTACTAAATAAAGGAGCTATAGCCATGAGGCCAAACAGCACAGACTGGGTCATGTCCTGCATGCTAGTATTCCCCCACCTCCCCTCATTCCCACAAGCAGATTTGTTCTTGGAGAAAGTTGAAAGAGAACAAGGGAGTAAGCTAACAATTAAGCAGTAAGCATGATGAGCAGTCCAGTGCTTGAGTCCATTACCTGCTCCTCTCATATAGTGGTATAGATATACCCACAGCCATTTGTTCAAGGGTGTTGAACACTTAAGAGTGTTGAACAAGTAATACAGCTAATCACTCCATTGCACAACTGAGCTGTGGTAGGGACATTCAGAACACTTCAAAAGAACACACCTCCCCAAGCTTCTTTCTTGAAAGGCAGCATCATGGAATGCAGCACGGCCTGTCTGCTCACTTACCCATCTGGTCTTGTTTCTGCTGCAAAGAGATATAGTAGGCATCTTTTCCACCCCAACACACTGCCAGTCCAACTACCAAGATGCCTTCACAGCCTTGGACAGGAAATCCGTCATCTTTAACTTGCATCCACTGAGGTGATTTAACTAAGGGAATATTTTTTAGTTACAGTTATAAGATGGCATCCGTAAATACAGAAGAGTTTGGATTCTGAAAACTTAAATACAATAAATACATATCCTTCATTTTTATCTACAGAGAGGAAGTCCGTGCTTCTTTCTGAAAAAACATGCTTAGAATAGCAAGATCTTCTCTTGTCCTTTAACAGAAAGGCTCACCAATACAGCGTCCCTGCAAAACTCTGGCCTTCTCTAGCAGTCTCTTAAAGAGTTGAGACATAATTGTATTCCCTCCTTTCACTCCATAAAACACTTCACATTTGTCCGTCAAAATTATATTTTTATAGTGAAGATTTTTTTGTTGTCATGACTGCATAATAGCAAGTAATCTAACTCCGCTCAACCTTCTTATTTTACAGGAAGAGTGTGTTTATACAGTGGCAGCAGGGAGCAAGGTGCTGTATATGAATATCTCTGGTAGCAAAAAAACAAAGCAGTGTTGCAAAAATCCAGGGACTGATCTGAATTTCATACACAGATGAATTATGAATTAACTTTTTGCAGACTGGGGAGTATTTAACCTGGGCTCAGGCAGCTATCCCGTAAGTAACACTGCTTGGTGGAGACCCTGAACAATCTGTATAGTGTACTGTCACATATATTATTGATTTAAAAATATATTAAAACTTAGTTATGACATGGAAAGAAAAAACACAATAAAGCACAACATGCTTCCACTTCAAAGTTAGAGGTACAATGAAACTTGCACGTTCAGATGCTCTCTCTCGCAAGCAAAGAAGCTTCAGTTCATTATCATGATCAAGGACTAGCAACACAATCCTACTCTTCCCAGCTCCAATCTACCAGTGCAATGCTTGACCCCAATTCTCCATCCCGTGCCATCACCCAGTTCCTTTGCTTTACAGGGACCAACAATATTCAACTATTGTCAGTAATCTTCCTCCTTTTTTGCAAATCCTTTCCTCCCTCACTCTCCTGCCTTAAGCTGAAGGAGCCACCCCGCTGCTTGCAAAGTATGAATGTTGGAATATGGAACTGACCTTCTCTGAACCTGCCACCAATTGCTGATCTGGGAGACAAAAGACGTTTTGTTCTTTCACATGCTACCGAGATGGAGAATCTGCTTTTCTCTCTCCATTCTGCAATAAAAGTCTGGAAAAGTGCTTTGTCACTTGCTACATCAATAATCGTGAAGCTTTCAGCACTTAATGGAACGCGTGGCAAAACATCCTGAGACAGCTGCAGTGAAAAGCCTTGGTCTATAACAGAATCATCTTTTACATCAGTCTCAATTGGGTCTGCACTCCCAGCATTCGACTGCAGTGTTTTTACCTGCTGCTCTCCATCACCCTTCCTATTCTGCTTTGATGGAAACTGCTGCCCTTCATTTGCGCAGCTGATGCGTCTCTTCTTTCCAGATTTCACAGAGAGGGAAACAGAACTCTTTGGAAAAAGTTCTTTTGGGGGTGTTGGAGGAATAAACCCATTAATACTATCTGGTAGCGGATCAGATGTTCTGCCACTTCCCTTGAGCGGAAGAGTGATACAATCTAATTTCTGAGCATCCAAGGCTCCCATTTTGTTTTCTTTACCTTTGAAACAGTTTTTTGAATTCTGGCACGTGGGCAAAGGCTCTGGCTGACAACACTCAAATTCAAAAACTGGAGCTGGCTCTCGATTAGTGTTAGAAGCAACCAATTTTCCTTTCCAACAGGAGCTTCTTGGACTTATTGAAACTGGTTCAATGCCTGAAGAACTAGGCCATTTGTCTAATACATCCTGCAATCCTGGGCTGAGTTCAAATGTGCAGTCAGTCCACACCCCTGGATAGACTTTCTTGTCTGAAGCTAGTTGGCTTCTTTGGAGCGTCTCACTTTGAGCCCCCACTAAGTCCATTGGTCTGGGATCATCATTGCAAATCACTGGGTTTCTTAATCCTGACCGACCATGAACTGTAGATGGAAGATCTCCCTGAAAAGATGGGGAATTTGCATGATCTAAAACTTCAGCTATTAGATCAGAGAAGGCTAGAGACACATTGTTACACTGTGCAGGATCCTCATGCTCTTTGTGATTGCCACTGACATCAAATCTATTCTGAACAGGTCTTAGGTTCTGCAAAAGACCATCTAGGGGAACCAAAGCCCCCTGCTTCGCCCCAGGTTCTTCTCTGTCAGCCTCCATGATGTGAACAGCTGAAAGGTCATTGACATTGCTGAAGCTATCATCAAACAGCAAGCTATCACTCATGTTCAGGCTTGTTTCAGGGACAGGATGGCATTCTACTTGTACAAGGTGCTGCCCACCAACAGGAGAGGCTGTTTTATTACGGCCTTTAGAAGCACACTCCCCTTTCACTGAATTTTGGGTCTGGTAATCCTGTAAAAAACTGTGCAGCTGGGAGTCAGTCACTGAGAAATCATTTCCTTTAAGGCGAGGTGCAGATTCTGTTTCCTTCGCCACAGGCTGTAAATTAAGGCTTCCAGATTCCCTAACTTTATTACTGCAGTGGTGATCTGTGGTTTTTATAATGTTATTTGTTGTGGCAAGACTCGATAAGCCCAGTTTCCTAACCTCTGCAACCAGCCTTTCAGAAGTAGCATTTTCAGCCTGTGAAGTGCTAGCACAGCTTAGTTTCTCAGAGATTTCCTGCAGCTGTAATGCTGCCAGCTCTGAACCTCGTTTTCCCTGCTCTCCTGCAATTCCAACTGCCTCCTCCTGTTTTATTATCTTCTCAGTCTGAGTATCCAACTGGAAACTGTCTTCAAAGTCTCTAGAGTCAGAGAACAGATCAGAGAGTGGACCACTCTGGACACCATCTGCATCACAAGCAGCTCCGGATTTTAATAGAGTGTCTTTCAGAAAATCCTCAGGATGACTGTTGGCTTTCTGCACTCCTCCAGCAGGTAATAATATTCCATCAGGCTTTTTGCTCCTATTTTTGCCACTATTCTGAATCTGAAAGTGGCAGGATTTATCCTCACCAGGGCAAAAATGCACAGAATTCTGTTTCCTGCTACCATTATGGACATGTCCATCTCCAGAACAGCTGGCAGTTACATTACAGTGATCTGTGTCCAGAGCAGTCTGCCACTTACCAACCGTCTCGTCAGCACAGCTCTTACCTGCTTGCATTTTATTGATTTCATTCTGCTTATCATCGATATTTTCATTTCTCAGTGTCCTAGCACTAGTAGGTATTACCGGACCTTCTACAATATCATCTATCTCCATATTGACCTGTGAAGTACCCTGCATTACAATACCTGCCTGAAAACGTGTTCTCCCCTTAGGCATCCCTTCACGAGTGGTGGAAGGCTCTGTAAACAATCCTGACATTTTATTTTTGCTGCCAAGGTTAATTTCCCCTATCTGCACAGAATTTGGGACTTCATGAGTCACAGACCCTTTTTCTATAAATTCCCTATTATTTTGGTCAGGAAAAAAAATATCTTTAGAAATATGGTGGTGGAAAGCAGAAGGCTCCTGTATGTCTGTGCTAAGCATATTTGAATCTTCAAGCAGTGACCTCCGCAGTTTTGAAGCGGTTTCTGAAGTAGTTTTGTTCCTAGTCCGTTTTAAATGTGTGTCCATACTTCTTATCAATCTAGAAGCTGAAGACGTTTTTCTCAATGTTGGTGTCTCTCCCTGCTCACTAGGGAGTTGTAGAATTGCTCTCCTGGAATCTGTCTTGGTTTTGACCTGAGAAATACCTTCCATGTTTTCCTTATCTCGATTCATATTTGGCCTTTTTCTAGCACTCCGCACAACATCACCATTTCCTTCCTCTGCCCGAACCTGTCCCCTGCCTGGGACTTCGCTCTGAAATCTGGAGGTTGCTGTACTACCACTTAGTGGCCTTTTATATCCCTTTTTAATATTTGATAAGTTTCCAGCCGCAGAACCAGGGCCATTGCAACGCTGAACTGTGTGCCACTGCTTGTTTAGTACCCTAGAAGACTGAGAAGACCATTCTCCACTTGATCTACGTATTCTGTCTTCCAGTTCTGACTCATTGCTGGTCACAGAGGATGTATTTGACTCAAGAAAAGACTCTGGGTTCCACTGCACTCCCATCAGTGCCAAGTCCTGCT